ATATATATATATATATATATATATATATATATATATATATATGTAGAGAGAGAGGTTGGTAGACAGAAAAACAGGTTTATCCATTCATCTATTCGTTGACTGGATGGTCGATCTGCTGGCTGGCTGTTCGATAGATTGAGTGACCGATTTAATGAATGAGTGAGCGGCCAATTGATCGACTGATTGGTTGACTGATTGATTAATCGATTCATTGACTCACTCATTGATCCACTGATTGGCAGGCTGATTGGTCGATTGGTTGATTGATTATTAGGTAGGCGGATGGATGGATGGATAGAGTGAGTAGTTGTGTGGGGGGGGGGCGGGCCGGTGGCCCTACCGGGGGATGGGTCGGCCCATGGACCTACCGGATGATTAAACTTCCGAGAAAATCAGTAAATTACTGCCTTCTTGTCATGGTTTTTAAAATAGGTACACTCCTATTAGTTCAAGACACCGTCATATCACTTCTCCAAATCCCCTTCTCGATCTTTGTCTTATGTTAGGTACATCGATGTACACACGATCATATTACAGGTATGGCAAGTAAGTCACAGTCAGTAGTGAGAATTTTGTGCTTAGTAAGATTTGCTGTAATCCCGTTCTACGTTCACAAGCAAGTAATAATGGGCAAGTCAGTCAACTCATTCGATTGCAAAGTCCTCGTGGATCAGTTTCAATGGTTTGTTTGACAGTATTTTCTGCAAATCATATCGACACTTGTTGTCGAATTCCCTCGCACGCACCAGATAAACGGGTACCTGTCATGTTCGGTACCAAGAACAGAACAGAAAATATCACTGGAAAGGTTGACAGCAGACCGCTTGTACCCATGTACAATGCTCCTCTAGGTAATGGATCTCTCTGAAACTACTCCCTCTCCTGTGGCAGGTGATAGTTTGTTTGTCCCTGCGTGATGCGAAAACCTTTCTACTACAATTGGAGAAAAATTACTATATTGGTAAGCAATCATTCGGACAGCATCACTATCACATGACAGAGAGAGATCGTTAGTGCACATACCGTCACACATGGAAGGGAGCACATATCGAAAAGTAGCTAGAAACTGGGTATTAGATTCACGATCGGGTGAAACAAAATAGACTTGATGATGCAGCTCCAATTTCTGCATGAAAATATCATTTGATGTGGTTGGGTTCATTTGAATCGGTCAAAAAATCGCTGGGTCAGTTGACTTTATTTAGTTAATGGAATAGCGGACAGACACGAACGGACTAAAAACAAACTAAACTTTAAGTGAATCTCTCGTTTGTGATATTTCCGGGCAACTGAATGTGTTGCACCAGGCCGCCTCATGCTTCAGTCGCTACGCTATTCGCAAAACCAGATTGGTTTGCAAATGGGTGTGTATTCGCTAATTTCGCACTATCTGGTTTCAAGTAGAACATAAACTTGACGGAAGCTCTGAGACTGCACCTACCTGATGAGCCCCAAGAAGGGCGAAACCGGTCATGGACTGTCGACGAATTTTCGGCAACCTTATGAGTAGTGCGTTACGAATAGACTTTAAACATTTACCCCGACTTCTTCTGAAAACAAATTGGTTCTTGTCATTCATTAAGAAGTTCAGTTGCCAGGGATTATCCTCGCCAATTTGCATTTTTCACAAATTTTTTCGTCGCCCAACAAATACGGCTGTACGCCTATCTGCATAATTGCGTACCAAATCAGACAGTCCATATTCTTCTTCTAGTGCACGGAGAGGAAAACTTCTCGGCCAACAATCCTGATTTAAAGCAACATCATGTGATACCGATTCGCCTACAACTGAGGACAAAAAACTCGCGCTAATCAGTAAATGCAGTAGACTGAGAGTTGTGACAATGAAAAAGGTCCTCCTGTCTATAGCTGTCAGTTGCATTTCATTATAACTTGTTGACCGATAGAAACCACTGCACTCAGTGTAAACTGATATCGGCCATAAAATATAATTGGGTAGAACATGTGTGGAGAAACTGAAACAGACTAACGTTTTACCATCGAAGCGCATCAATTACTACACTTAAGAGAGAGAGGGAGAGTCAGTTATCAGCAACCAGCGAACAGCGGCCCAAAAGCACGGAAGATTTTGATCACTCACTTTGTTTCTGCTGTAATTAGATAGACAAAGCACTCACTGTGGTGAGTTACTGAGGTCATTATTGCAGAATGATTTTCTGTAGAATTTGTCAGTATTAATGGCTGTGTGAGCGAAATGTTGTGGTTAGTTCAACAACAATGGATCAACAAACTTACTGAAGTACAGTGTACGAAAAGATAGACGAAAAGGTTCTGGACAATCAGCCCTGTGGTGAATGTTCCCGATTACTCGCTAATCGCGGTACTCTTCCGTTATCGGTTCAGCGAATTAGGAGACACAAACAAAGTTCAAAGTGAACAGTACTTGATCTGAAATAGGGGGACATCGAAGGAGGATGACCAAACCGTTCCTAGATGATTTATGCAGAGGTTAGAAATTCCAAAATTATGTAGGGATATGAGGCAAGTGCTTAAAGAAATTCTTCTTAGTCCCAAAGGTCTGAATCACAGAACGTCGTCTGTAAAGACTTTCAGAAACCAGGCTAACTTACCTTTGTGTTTTGTTCGGTAGCAAGTCAATGCAAATGATATTGCATTTAACGCCTACCTTCTGTCAACCTGATGGAATCGCGGGCTGTCAGAAGCACTACATCAAATTCATCATCTTGATTGATAGCAACAGACGTTTTTGCCATCCCTAGTCATTTATAGCGTACGATCGTACCAGAGTAGGTCAGTGTTCACTACGGATCCAGATGTGATTTACTCTGAAATGTCCACATCAATATCAGTATCAGTCAGTCAGTTTAACTTGCCGGGACCTTCTGCACTCCCGAGTGTTGAGTCAGAGAATGCCAATAAGGATAAAACTCAGTCAAGCTATGACAGAGTGAAAAAGAACTGAACACCACCCAGAGTAGAGCAATTTGTCCCGCACACCTTAGACTACCTATCCGAACGAATACCGATTCAGATGAAACCTGTCTGCATGTTAAGGTATACGGATTATGTAAGAAATGCACCAAGTATCTTGATAAAGGTACAAATGCCACCTGACCAAAGCGGATTGTTTACCGCTTGCTAGTGTGCGCTCGATATTTAGGCTGATGGAATACCGCTTCATTTGGGTGTATTTGGTTTAGAAACGACCGTGCATACCAATCTATGATTGACCGTCCCCGATGCACTGCACATCCGGCAACCTAATACTGCAGGGCAGGAAAAACAAGTACATCCGTATATTTGTAATGTACTACCCATAAGGTTGCTGAAAATCCATCGACAGCCCACGACCGGTTTCGCCCTTCTTGGGGCTCATCAGGTAGGCGCAGTTCCCGGGTTTCCGTCAACCTTATGTTCTACTTGAAACCAAATTGCACGAAATTTTTCGAGAAATATACGCATTTGCAAATCAATTTGGTTTTCACGAGAGGCTCAGCTGAGTCTCTCGTTTATGATGTTCTCAGCTGGGTTCCAGGTGAGTCTCTCGAAAGAACCAAATTAGTTTGCAGATGACTGTATATTCGCCAAGTACATCCGTAGATTTTGGTACGGCAGCGAAGCATCAGTGCTGAACAATGATGTCATGCTCTCGATGATGTTGATGACGATATCATTCTTAAAACCAATTTCCTGGTTGTGCTTGAAATTCATTCGTCGCCACACTTTTGGACTTGCCTCCAACCTCCTACAGGGAACTGTTCAGTTGTGACTCAGACCGTTAATTCTCGTGTGTCTTTACCATGTTGTCACATCAGAAACACAGTTAAACCGATTTTAGTATGCCATGTCCTGTTCTGCCTCAGTCCTCGCTAGAAAAGCCCATCGACATATTGATTTCGGGTTCACACTGTGGATTGTCCACTATAAAGGTAGAAATATCCCACCACGGTCTCACCACGCACCACTCACGTGGTCCCTATTTATAGCTAGGTGAACTAATCGTTTGGTGCCCACGACCTTTCGATGTTAGGCGCTTTCAATCATTCATGTCTCTTGGTGCGGCCTATCGTCACGTGATTTAAAGGTGAGTACATTGTTCAGCTTTGGTAGTTGGACTATATCCTACTGAAGTCATTCACGAAAATCTTGAAGTAAGTGCTCCCGACTTTGCCATGGTGGGGTTAGCTGTGTCACCTCAGTGAACCAAACCAAAATATGGCTCAAACAACCAAAACTAACATTTTCACAAAGGCGCTGTTCGATGAATGAATTACTGAAACAACATACAGGCCCACTTTGAGTTTGGTCATCTAGCCTGGGATGAGATTGGAGACACCGATAAAGCGGACCGACTCTCAAACCGTAGACAGCCATCAGAACAGATGAAGACGTTCTTTGATAAAGTCTAGCCTGGGTGGTCAAAACGTCAAACAGTTGCGTTTATTGTATCCACTCTTTAATCATTATTGTCACTGTGACCGAACAATCTACCGCGCCTACACTTTCCACTCCTTCGAACTCATTTCGAGGTGACCAATCACGAGTGGGTATGTGTTAACGAACTATTTTAATCTAATGGATCTTGATGGACTGATGGTTTCAGAGCATTCAGTTCAGTGACGATGGACACCGCCAGTCTCTCGATTATCTCTAGTCAAAATAGAGACGAGTTGAGTGCATTTTTGACTGGACTTGAAATGTAATCAGTAATGCTCCTGAGCCAAGGAATTGATGTAATATCACCGAATCAGTCGCATCGGTTCAGTTCAGCTCAGTCCAGTTATTCAATTGTTAACCACCTACTAATGCCGACTGTCCGAAGCCAGAACTCTGTTTCTACATAATCGTGACTGGAAGAATAAGAATAAAGCCACGAATCCGGAGCCATGGTCTAGCTATTTCCAAAACTTTGAACTGTCACTGATTCGTAATCAAAGATTGGTCAGGAGCAACCTACTGAGGGCGTTCATGCAGCTGCATCACTGTTTGTGTGTTTGGACTGCTTCTAACTGTGTCACTAGCCACGGATGCGACAATCAGGGGAATAATGATAATCTGTCGGATGGTGGGACTCTTTTACTCTCTTACTCAGACTCGTCGGCTGCAACCAGAGACAGAAGCGAACTTGAGGAAGTTAGCAAACCCACTCTTGATTAGGATATCGGTCCGTCGACCACAGGTTTGCGAGTGCGCTTGATACGTAAAGGCATGTCTGTGTCACAGCCGGCTCCGTGCAGCTTCCTGGCCGCGTTTGACCGAACGCGCCAATTGGTCAATCCTCATGGGCCTAGAGTCTCACTGCGCCTTAGAGTTTTAGACTACAACGCTTGTAAGGCCTCACACTGAACGGATTCGAATACGTCGCTTTTTCCCAGCAGAATCAGGTTTCCCTGGTAGTTTGCATATTCACCGAGAGATCAGTCGTAACTCTGTGGCAGTGCAATGATCAATGACCGGATTTTTTACCAGAGTGGACTGTGGTAAAAGCCTACACTCAAACTCTCGATCAACGAGATATGATCTGATTGGCCTTCCAGACACCAGAAATGAATAACCTATGGATACTTGTAGTTCCACACGTAGAACCGGAAGTCAGTTATAACAGGGGAACAGCCAAACCTAGTGACACTGTAAGGCTCGTTACGGAATGACCAGTCACAAGGTAGTGATCAATACAATGCTCCTGACCAACCGTACAGAGGCAGCTAACCACCATGCTACCCTATAAAACCGGTCTGCCTTGGTGTTCGCATCTAAGGTACCAGACCTACGGTTAACTTATGAAGACCCAACTAATCATGGGGTTCCTAAACCATTTTTCTTCGAAGTAAGAGACTGTAGACTGGGGAGATCAGTATACAGAAAGAGGTTGAAGTTGCTAAACGTCTGTAGGAAAAGCTGTTTAATAACCGGCAATTCGGTGCCGTTTTTCGAAACAGAAAAAGGGGGATCGCTCTGGGATCGGTTAAACTATCCGAGATTTTATGTCTTGGGGAAGCTGGCAGTCACATATCATTTCCTAGAACGATAACAAATTCGGCTTCTATGACATCCGATAAGGCCAAACTGCTTCGCCCCTGGTCCACATCATCAAACTCATTCCGGTTGACCGTGTAATGCTTGTTAGAATGGGGAATCCGAACGAACAACCACTAAGTCATAGGGCAACTACGTGTTGTCAATCGCTGCATGATTTGGAATACCATTGAGCTTAAACTGTTGTGGTTAGATCTAAGCGTTGGTAAAATATGTCAACAATTCCATTAAGCTTCAGTTTCAACGGGCTCTTATTCAAGTATTTTTGGCGGGTTGATGATATTTCGCCCTCAATCTTCGACGTACCGAAACCAAATTTTCCCCGGCCTTCAATTCAGCAGGCTGTACATAGGTCCGACCTGAACATCGCTCGACTGCCCAGTCCAGTGACTACTTTTCAGTGTCTTGACTTAACACAAAGGTAAACACAGACACATTGATCATGTGGTGAACATTTCGGTCTGTTTAGCGCCATGCGTCCGGTGTGAGATTTTAGTTTTGATCGAGGTCGACATATGGGGACGTACTTTTGATGTCCTGTTGCTCACGTTACCAGTTGTCGCCCGCCGTGCGTGTGTCCAGCCTCAATTTATTCCACATCAGTCTGTCTGGTTGTTGGCTTACATACATAGCACGCAACATCATCTTCCATGTGCTCTTGTGGTCAGACATCGTGGTGTCCGTTCGGCACAAAACATGACCATAGCTTGTCGTCTACATGAAACGTAAGTGAAGGTCACTCGTCTGACCTGTCATGACTGACGTAGTTGTCCTGGATAAAGAGGAGAAGAAAGCATCATTGACCCGACAACAGACAATTGGATAGACAGTGTACTGGACGAGGCGGGGTAGGTGGGACAGCCTGTCTGCCTCTAAGGTCACGCCCTCTGCAGGGCATTCTTGAAGGTCTGGGCGACTAACGTCTGGCCGGGACAAGAAGATTGGGCGGAATGTCTCGTTCTCTCAAGGGTGGTCTGGTTGTGTTAAGCTTACATCGTCCAGACTGAATGATCAGAAAGTCCAAATGAATTTGTGGCCTATCTTTTTGGTGCTGGACGGTGCATTTATGGCGTGAACGTGGCTTGGAAAGGAACATCCATGCTACTGAGCAGAGATAACACGCAGTTTCACCCGCTTATCTCTACGCGTGGTTTTTCTTTCCAAGCCTCATATCAGACAACTTAGTCGTCCTGGTTAACTTTATGTGCGTTTCAGCGTCTGAGTGCAGACAAATCCGGATAACCCCGATAATTACGTCAATTAAATGAACTCAACAACCCTCAACTACAAGTGTGTACTTTTCTGCTATAGAATATTCTCATCTGGTAGCACGTTAGCCAAGCGTGGCGATCATTTTACAAGCTTTGCATCACTATTCGTCAAGATCTTTACAGTGCGTGGTTGGGCGGTTTATCTGACAGATTACTTGTTGGCTCCATTGTCGGGATAACTCGGTAAATAGTTCACGGGATAATAGTAGTAGTAACAATAAAATAACAATAATAACGGGGCTATCGTTTTCCCTCTCTCTTTGACAATCCCATAAGCAGGATGCTGAGACACAGCATGCTGAAAAATAAACATTCTCTTGTGTTAGATATGTATTCGGCCCTGGGTATGAGGTCAGTCAAATCTTCAAATCAAAATAATGTGTCTGAACGGGGTGAGTTACTATTAGAACCCAGATATCCCGGCAAATGTGTTCGCTTACTGCTTGTCTGGAAATCGTACTGGACATCTATAGGCAGGAGACAATGTCCTCACGGGAACAGACTGGGACTCTCGTGCGTCTGGACATTTTACAGGTCTTTTCTGACAACAAACTGACTCTCCATCCATCGCATGGTTCTCCTGATAGTTTTTGGAGCACTCTCGTCAAAAGTGGCTTGCTCTTATGATTCTTCCGTTATATCGTAATAATAATAATAATAATAATAATAATAATAATAATAATAATAAAATATTCGTTATTTTAATATCGTTATTTTAATAAATATTCGTCCTTTAATTGAAGCCAATCTATACTGAAAAGCCGAGAGGTACAGTACGGCAGCTTCATCCTCACTTTGAATCATCAGTGGTGAGCATCTCACCAAAATCAAGGGAATCTCGAACACGCGACCTCCCGGCCAGTAGTTTGAATAATTAACAGCTTGGCAACGAGCACCTGACCAGTGGTGTGATTAGCTCGTGAGGTGCGCATTGCTGATGATTCCCAATTAGGATTGAACAGCTGAGGAGTGCTTCTCGGTGTTTCCCCTACAGGATGAAATCTAGATGAAATTACAAGTTCCCTTCATACTGTCAGTAGCATTGTTATTATGTGAAAATCAGTCACTGAACAAACATTCCGGCATTTCACACACTACTGTAAAGTGATTATGGATTGACTAATACACTACTCACAAGGTTGCTGAAAACTCTTCGACAGTCCACGACCGGTCTCGCCCTTCTTGAAGATTATCAGGTAAGTGCAGTCCCCGAGTATCTGTCAACCTTATGTTCTGCTTGAGACCAAATTGCACGAAATAAGGGAAGTGCACTCATTTTCAAACAAATTTAGTTTACCTAAAAACATCTTAAACGAGATAATCGGCTGTGTTCCAGGTGAGTCTCTCGCAAAACCAAATTTGTTTGCAACTGAGTGTATTTCGCTTATTCTGGTCTGGTTTATTAGGCTTGAGAACCGATTCTTGAGCCATCAAGGGTGACTAACTATACACTACATGGTTTAGTGTGTTAATTCGGATCTGCGGAAACGCAACACGCCCCGAGTCTATGGTACGGTCTCCCATGCTTGTTCCTTCCACTCCGTAGCACCTAACATGGTAAGTAAAAAAGAAATAAGAGAAATATCGCACATTTAGGATAAATCTCACCAATTTATCACAAGGTCAGATATTCTAGATGAAATGTACGGGTGGCTGGAACAGTCAACTAAAATCCAAAATCTAACATTTTTAGGCGATGAAGGTCGATATATTTACCGTGAGGGTTGATTGTGTGTCTCGTCGGCACACAGTATCCGTTGCGAGTGTCTGATGAGCAGTGCCTCTCTGATGGCTAGACGTACAAAGTTTGAGCCATGCATCGAGATGTTGAAGAATTTTGGATTATGGTCTGTCTCGGGAAAGGGCTTGTTGACGGACACTGTAAGTGTGCGTACTCCATTAGCCCTAGTCCTTCGAGCGTTGTCTCAGCTACGTCTGTGCGTAAACACCGTTATATCCTGCCTATGTAGGTTTCCATTGAGCGGCAGATGGAGTGATGTGTAATGTTTACATAATTATACATATGCATACAGGGAAATAAGGTTGAAATCAAGGGTCCTAGCAATACAACACCAATCAAAACAGAAATTCTGATAGCGGATGGTGTTCGTGATTCAGCAATCACCCGTCTTTCTTGAGGTGTGGACTATCCTCGGCAGTACACGTAGGATCCAATATCTGTGTACCAAATCGTGGGTGAATTGCATTAAATTGGTGAAAACCTTCAGAAATGTTATTGTGGGTATTTGGTAGTCGTCATTGAATCCGTTGTCTGGTATACACTGCGGTTCAACGATCGGAGAAATCGAACTTTGTGGGAGGTTGTGTGAAGTGCACTCCTGCACATGTTCACAACCTGTCTGTGGGTGATACATGCTTCAACTTCATCATCATCATCATCATTATCATCATCATCATTATCATCATCATCATCATCATCATTAACAACAACAACAACATTCTCATCGGTAACCGATACCAGATGAGAACACTGGCGCTTCACTGCCGTACAACTGTGATATCTATTTGAGTCAAATCTGAAAATGAAAGGAAGAATAAATGGCACTGGAAAGGGGACTTAAGGCTAGTCTATCACAAAGATATGAGGTGCCCACATCTTCAACACAATCGGACAATCGAAATAGAAACTGACAGCTTGAACGCTATTGACATCCGCTAGCAGCCTGAAATGTCCCTCCTGACGATGAAATAGTTATGCTTATCAGGATGGAGAAAGGCTTCAGAATGTTTCGCTCCGATCGTATACCCTGAGTTTGGTGAGAAACTTATTTCTGACTCCGCAAAATGACTCCAATTGATCACCTGGCAAACAAATCCGAAGTCGCTTGTGAAGTATGGTATGAAAGTTAAGGGACGATGTCTAAAACCGTCTATAAATGGTGTACAAAAGCATAGTAGACTTCGAATCCTAAAGTACAAGTAGAAGTGGCGAGTTTTTCACCAGATTGAATTAGACAAATGCAGGCTAACCGAGCCTACACTTGAGTTTAATTGAAAAATACTACACGTGTTGTAAAATACTCCTCAAGTCTACGAACCCCTTCGTTCGTGATGGAAGGATGTACCTCTTTGTGCTCCAAAGCGATGATTCATAAGCTATCCCCTGGATACAGCTCCTAGGGAAAGTCTGGTGCATTAATATCCAGGCCATTTTTCGGAACATTGAGAGCCATCCATTCAGATCAGATGGAATCTCCTCTGGATGTTTTAATCTTATTCGCTGAAGCACATTTTTCTGGTTATAAACAATAAGTGGTCGCTTCAGCGGTTCATTCAAGTGAGGAACGGGGACATTCTTGTAAAAATCCAGTCACTTTTTTGTACTCAGAACTACTTGGGTGAAATGAACTTGAATGGTCCGATTCCCATGTGCTCTACACAAGATGCAAGTCCATGAGTCAAACTCGAACGTCCTACGTGAGTTGGTTTGTGGTTATCTGATGTCTGCTCCGGCACAGACAGAACACCGCCTCACCCGAGTGCATGATGTCCTCCTGAAGAAACAACTGATGAACGTGACAGTTGAGAAACCAGTTGCAGTACTCTGTACTCTAATACAAATAGTCCTTGTAATCATTATGGTAGACAAAAGTGATATTTCCGTTTTTTCCGAAATCCCCTGAAACATTCATCTTCCGAGGGCATATTTGTATGAATTGTGGTTGGTAACTTTGAAACTATTCATGCTTCCTCCCCGGTGACGGACATCTGAGAACTGGTCCCGTAGGTTTCCGTCTTTTGCACTGCAATCCAATACTGGAGCTTCTTCGTTTCGAGATACAATCGCCTGAATCTATCGCAGCCAATGTTTTTCGTAGCAAGGCAATGCTGAGTAAACCATTTTATCAGAGGTTTTGACCACCATTACTTACACATAGATCTCTATGTAGTGAATCTGGCGGGAACTCTACATGATATTTACATGTGTACTACCCACACCCTTCTTGTTAACGGAACCTTAGATGAGTTCTTGGGGTAGCCTTTACATCCCTTCACGGCCGGTTTAATTACTTGCAAGTAAAGCGATCGCACTCTACGCTGGAGCATATTCATTCCGGAAAGTAACATCGAAGAAATATTGTGCCGTATGCATTTGATGAATCCGCTGATCTGGGATCATGGTTTGAAACCAGTTGGAACAAGGTGGGAGATGCATAGCCGTTTTAGACATAGAAGGAAAGCAGTCAGTTTATCCAAGTGTTTGTCGTAAGACTCTCGCTGTGTTTGTTCTTATCCTACCGACAACTTTATGCGCCTCGGTGTCCTAGCATCCGCAGCAATCAGCAAAACACTTATTCTGCCCTGATCGACTGTGATTAAAGCGGACGACCATTTCCATAGGTTTCCGATGCAAAACTTCGCCACTATATCATACACGGATTTCTCATGACCGTAGGTGACAAGCCTCAATCTATGACCTACCGACCTAGTTAGCCTCACCTCACTGTGTCCCAATAAAACTCCATTTGTAGTACGACCACACGGCCGCACATTTCACTCACAACAAGCAACCTACTATGTGACAAAGGAATGGAGGGAAACCTCAGAGACATTGGGCATGTTCTGTGGCTTGGTTGGTAGCCACTCAGATAGAAGCCAGATGTCAGTCAAGGATACCAAAAATGAAGCATCACAACCTGCACAACAACAAACGGAAGCAGATTCTAACCCGGGTGTACACACAACACACACACA